CGATGCGGACGGTGCAAGTGACACTATGGGATCCTTTGAAGACGATTTTCAGCGAGAACGGGAATCCTGGGGAGATCAAAGAGGGTCAGAGGTTCATGGTAAGTGCCGACGCTCTTCAATCTTCGTCTTCCCTTCCAAGGTTAATCGGCATGCTTCGTCGCTCGACAAGGTAACCAACTTGATGCCCAATCAAGCCGGCGCTTGGATGCCTCCCGGGCCCGATGCTGTAGTGTACTTGGTTGCGAAACGCAACGCGCGATGGACCAACATCAAGTCAGGCGTTAGGTGGAGCTGATTACGCCGGCCGGACAAGACGCTCAATGTAACAGTATATGTTGTACTCGTGATGTTCACGATTATGCTCAATCCCGTGTGGGCGTACTCAAGTTTAACGCTTGCGTTAACGATGTTGAACTACCTGGGCCTGCTTACAGCCACCTCAGACACTGGCTTATGTTATCCACTTCTGCGACCTCTTTGATTGATGCCAAAGAGTAGTAGTGCAATGTTTATTAATATGATGTATGGTGTGGGGCAATCATATGCGGTACGTCAGACGACGGTGTACAAGTAGACAGGGTAGGAAGACGAGCGCTAGGCTCACGCCTCCGCGAGGCCATACTTGCGGAGGACCTCGTGGTAGTCCCCGACATCCTCCCTGCCCATAACGACGACCGAAGCACGAGCGGGGGTGCGTGGTCCGTATATGCGTGCAGCGACGCGACGGATGGTGAGTGCGTCGACAGCGTCGATCTTGTCGCACATCTCAGACACAGGGACCTTGCGCCCATGTACAAGCACCTACAGGAATACCGTAAGTCACGCTAGACACAGTATATCGCCGGAAGTACCCACCTGACGACCGAGGTCCTCGACCTCCACCGCACGGCTCTCAAGGGCCATCATGAGGCTCGATTTGAGCTGATTCTTGGCACGGCTGAGTTCTGCATCCGGGATGTTCGAGTAAAGTAGTAGGCTCAGCTGGTGCACGAGATGGGGGAAAATGTGCGCGGGCGAGTTTGTCTGGCGGCCGCTCCCGGGTACGAAAGACGCGAAGAGACCGAACAAAGACGAATCTGTGTATATATGGTGGAACGATGCGCAGTGGTCGATCTGAGGGAAGTGGTTCAGGATGTGTGTGTACAGACGCGAGTACATGCCCTTCCCGGGGCCACCTGCGAAGGGGAATGGTCAATGCCGCACAAGGGGAGCGCGAGAGAACCTCCGCAGACACTCACCTGCCGAAAAGCTTCCCCCACCTCCAAGGAGCACTTGCATAGTGGCAACCGCATAGACATCATCATCGTGAATTCCAACGCCCTCGAAAGCGAGGTATACATGATTGAACTCCGTGGATGCGTCGTGGATGAATCGGTGACCGCCAGTATAGGTGGTAGTGCCGTTATTTAATGGAGATTGCTCCGATGACAGGTATGATGCGGCACGGGTGAGCGACTTGTATAACGAGGGGGGGGTTTGTTGGGAGGAAAGGAGGTTTGTGGGCACCTGTTGTGCGCCCACGGTTGAGCGCGATGAAGAGGGTTTAGGGGCCTTCAACGACGCGAAGTGCTTGTCGGCTAGTTCGACAAGCTGTTCATGGTGCATGCCCGCACCGGCAATGACCATCCTTTCCGGCGTATACCAATTCTTCATGAAATCGCGCATTGTGGACTCGTCGATGAGGTCTATTCGCTCCTCAGGACATAAAAGAGGGTTGCCGAGGGTTTTTCCATCATACGCAACTTCGTGTAAGACTTCGGGGAGGATCATCTCGGGCTTCGAGCTGACCTCACGCAGCTCATAGCGGGCCGCCTCTCGCTGTGCTTCTAGCTCTTCTGGTAAGAATGCCGGCTGGAGTACTGTATCGGCAATGAGAGACAGGGAGAGAGGGGTTCCCTGGTGGAAATGAGAGGACTGGTACATGATAGATTCCCGAGCGGAGGAACAGAGAATCTGACCACCCAGAGCGTCGATGTCCGCAGCCATTTGCTCCTCCGAGCGTGCCTTCGTTGTCTATATACGTTGTCAGGCCCGGGGTTAAGATGTGCAATAGGATACACCGCACCTTAAATGCCATCCTGTCCAAGAAGTGGCTCACGCCAGACGTCGACTGCATTTCATACCGCGAACCGGCATCTACGTAGAGCCCAACCGAGGAGAAGTGTCCTGGCGTCGATTCTGTCGCGACACGGAGGCCATTTGGAAGCGTTGTGATTCGTACTGGGGGGTCCACCTGGGGCGACACCACTTTGGATCCTGGACCCGCATGCGAAAGCTGTCGCCTCGGGGCGGAGGTACGGAGAGCACGGACGGCGGCGCGACGCATGGTGGTCGTCGGCAGAAGCGGAGACGCACACAAGCGCCCGTTCTCGCTGATTACTAAGTTTACTTAACCGTAATTTATGTGACACGGAGTCAAAAAAAGGCCCCACCGTGGTTCGAACACGGGACCACACGATCTGCAATCGTATGCTCTACCACTGAGCTATAGAGCCATATTCGAAAGTCCACTTTAGACATTGTCGATGCGCTTGTCTTTCGAGAGTATATGGGTTTTTGGCCATCGTATACAAGTTGTGCGATAAATTCTCTAGCCAGGCCAGTTACAATACACGATAGTTTGTTCATAGGGGAATACTACGATCAACCAAAGAATTTATCCGCGCCCACCTACCGAGTCTTCCCCTTGAGCAAAGGTATCATGTCTCCGAGACTGTGATGCAAAATATGCCCGCGCTCCTTCTTGACATACGCGAGGTAGGTGGAGGCACCCGCAAGGACGCTGATGAAGGACGCCAATGCTGCATACTTGAACTGTGACGGCCGACTCAATATAATAGTGAGGATGTACTTCAATGACTCGTCAGTGGAGGTCGCTCATCACGGTTAAGGTCGAAGTCCCGCGCACCTTGAGCATGTCTGCAAGGTTTTGCAAAGAAAATTGGAGCGCAGTGCTGTATATGAAGGATTATTTTAGAGATCGCGCATAACGCTAGGGCCTGATATTGAGTACGAACAGCGAATTGCGCCTGGGATGGGCTGCTAGCGCCATCTGTAATTCCTTGAGTTGACACAGGTCGAATGCCCACAATCCTATTCGTGATAGCATCATGCCTAAGAAACATGGTGTGAGCTATGGCTCAAACGACTGAAGAATTGGCTTGCGACGCACCGCCGAAGAGTAGCACGGCGTTCCAGGCGGGCGCCCGCGAGCCATCCGAGGGTGCGCCGACGTAGAATGTGATCAGAACGGGTAAGAGACAGAACACCTCCGACCTACAGTAAAAACATAAATGGGTGTCGCCTAGGCGGGGTAAGGAAAGTGTACCATATACTCCAGTTGCCAGCTCGCACGAGGCCAAGTTTTCTCTCCAAAAGCGGCATAGCAATAGTTCCCGCCATGCCGGCGACAACATTCAACCCGCGCATCCCCGCAAGAAATGGGTCGCTGTATGCGTGAGCCTTCAGATAGCTCAACATCGTACCGTCGAAGCTAAGCACAGTGAGATACAGGCAGGAGATGGACACGGAGGAGAGGAAGATAGGAAATTGCGAGAACTCGCGCCAGTCCCGGAGTGTCGACTGAAGCCGCGCGAGCAGTTTCCGCCACGCGACAAGATACATAGGAAGGACGTCCGACGAACGAGGTGGCTCATCTCGAGCACGGGCACTCCTTGAGGTTTCCTTGGATAGTTGGGCGGTCCTGAGGGCGGGAAAGCGACGATACGAAATTTCGGTCCCTATCTTTCATCGTCAATGCCGTGGTATGACAAAGTTATGGAAACATACACAGAATCTCGAACACCAAGCAGCCGATTTCTACTCCACCGAGGAATATAGCGGTGAAGCGGTACGACGCGGTGCTTGTGAGGAGGGACACAAATAACGGTGCCAAGAGTTTACAAAGGAGATCGATGCGGCGCATATACGTATTCAGTGTGGTGAGGTGCGCCGAAGAGCCCGATGCGATGGAAGTGACCCACTCCCGCTCAACAGCGACTGAAATGGTCACCCCAGCAAGAGTATGGATGGACCCTCCTATGACGATGAGAGCGAACATTCCGGAGGCCAGAGGCGTATCCCACGGCCTTGGATTGTTTAACATTGTGTGAAGGCGGTAGAGCAACACAAGACTGCCCGCGTACATCAGGCAGGCAGCGAACTTGATGGTGATGATGCTAGTGCGCACCACTCGAAGATTGTGGTGTTCGTCGACTAGCTTTCCTGCCCATCCGGATAGTACGATAGCAACCCCTGTGGTAGCGAAGCCATAAATGGATGCCGGGAGTAACGTATCTGGGAACAAGTTGACTAGAAACAAGTACACGGCGAACTCGGCCGTTCGTAACCCCCAAGAACTGCAATGAATCAATCCTGATGGCCAGCTCTTACAGTGGCGACACGTACTTAGAGAAGTGCTGAATGAGCAAAGTAGCTAGAGCAACCCGATCTAAAGGCGACCCTAAAGGAGGCGTTTCCAACACACCGGCAGCCGCGACTTCCGCCGTTTGCAAGGGCGTTTCCAAAGGCGTCGGCTCCGAGGGAATCCTTGAAAGCTCAATGGAAGTGGGCGTAATTTCTGCTAGTGTCGCCATAGTAGTCTGCTGTTAAAAAGTACACGTTTAGAACACACGGGAAGCACGATAAACGGGTTTAGGGGCCCACGCGTATATTACAGTGTTTTGGTTACACGCCGAAAGGTATCCGGCCCCGATACGTGTCAGGAGACCCCAAGTCGGCACCCGCGGTCGCTGTACCGCGGTGGCAGGAATATACCAATCGGTAGCGATGTATGACCTTCTGAGTAGTTTCATGACTGAACCTCGAGGATGAACGATGAATATCGTACCATTTGTCTCAAATTGAAATAGTACTTATACTTAACTTTCGGAGGACCGCGGTCGCAGTTGACTCGTCGGGGGATGGTTCGGGTTATCCGAGAAAATTCCGAGAAGGGCCGCTGAGTGCTATCTCTGACTACAAACCGGGCTTTTTTTCAAGAACCCTTGGCACAGTGGTAGCGCGTGAGATTCCAGTTGAAGGAGTAATCCTTCCAAGGGAGATCCTCAAGGTCGTCCGTTCGATCCGGGCAGGGTTCACTTTTTACCCTTTGGATGGGTAGAGCCTCCGCCAAGATGCTTCGAGTTTGCCGATGCTCCATGGGCTATGTATACTACTATACTGTATAGTCTCCGTGGCCGACCATCTATGATGATAGGGATGGCTATGGACTACTATCCGGCGCATGGTTCTGGTGCACTACTGCACTTACCGTGTCGCAACATGCGCTAACAGTATGAAAGATAGAAATAAGAGTGTTCGTGTAATAATTGCTACGTACTACGACTCGGTGGTACCGGTATAATTAGTCTGCCTATATAGCCTAGCGTGAGCCGGTCGCAACTACTCGGAATGCCCATCCCGGACACGTTTGTAAAGTCCAACTATGATATCGTTCGCAGTAAGCGTCACGATCCTATGTGATGCGACGAATGTGCGTGAGACTTGGAATCGCAATTCATATGCAATGGATACTATTAAACTCACGTGTGGGGTACTATACGCAGGAAATGCGCCGTTGAGCCTATATAGATCTCGCGTCAAGTAAGGATGGGTCTGCAGGACACTGTTCGCTCACCTTTGTACCAGCCTAGCGGACCCTCAGCCTTCAGCGTTTTCCACAAGCAATCTATGGGGTTCTTATACAGCGTCCCGACGTGTCGCCCATCGGGCGTGCGGATTGTAGGTTGGTTATACATGCGGGTCAGTACAGTATCCGTAGGCTGCATCATTGTCAACTGTAAACGAGTTAGCGAGTCACTCAAAGTCAAGGATAATTGCCTGGAATACCACGCAGAGGCCAGACACGGAACTGCTCGCCAAGAACGTCCAAATGCTATCCGCACGAGATATACCACGGCTAACGAGCTGGTTCTTAGTCCAGTTGTACGTGGGTAGTTGTACCTGACAGAGAGCGAGGAGTTAGCATAGGATCCGGGTACAGCGTCATGGGTAGATGCGCACCGAGGATCCCATGGCTGTCCTCAATGCTGCCGCATCGATACCTCTTACGAGGCCTCTGAACTTCTCGGCATGCCAGATATTCCGGAAAGCATCAAACGAATTCTTATAATAGTGTTGAGCGCCGACGGGAAGCACGGGGGAATACGCCTTATATAGATATGGGATCAGCGGGGTAAGACGATGCCAATCGAAGGGTACAACCTGCATGCGCGCCTTGACGAGAAAGAAGGGGTTCCCAAGACTCGCTACAAACATCCCCGGATCGGACATGCACGGTGGTCCTCACAGGTTCACAAACACACCTCCGATTATTCCGCTTGCCGCACCGGAGAATATTGAGGTTAGTGGGATTTGGTCCGTAACGCTTGCTCCAATAATTTTGTTGCATCGTCTCCGTATAGGTTCGTAGAAACCTTAGGTGTGGTCGGCGGATGGATTCTGTACGGAATTCCGGTATGACGTACCCAGTCGAGACCCGTTCATGAGAATCTGTTACGGTAAGGCCTCCGAGCGACAGAATAGCACAGGTGGACTCACTTGATACACATACTACACGTACATGCAAGGTAAGGGTCCATTCTGTAGATACGAGATATGAGTACTCACCGCGGGACCCAAACCTCTCTGGATGCCCCGAAGACCCTCGTTCCGCCACGTCTTGGCAATCACGTCCAACGCGTTCTTATAAACCTTCGCCGCACCCTTTTTGGCCAGCTCTCCTTGCAGTTGCATACGAGTCTTCGCCACTTCCGCCGGATTCGACACGGTGACCTGCGCGATACCGGGCGCGCGTCACGACGTGCTATGACGGAACGAGCGGTATGACTTACGGCTACGCATGCTGCCAATCCGCCGCAGAGGAACCCTTCCGTAGTCGATAGCGGCTTGGTGCCCGGCACTGGGGTGCTCATGGTCGGTCAGTCACGGATGGCTAGTGAACGTGGAAGTCGAGCAGGTTGAACGTGAACGGCCGCCCGGCGCTGTGCGCGAGTCATTCCCGAACATGATGAACGCGGGGTAACAAGCGAATTATATTATTACGATCGCGCAGCGAGAGAACAACTGCTCGTCCCTTTCTGCATCAATAGACAGGCCAACGAGGCGGTCTGCCGCGACCTTTCAGTGCCATGCAATGTAACTACTATTAGCGAGCATTCCCAAAACCACTAAGCTTGAGCTCTGGACGGCTCAGTCGAGCGCCACAGAAACTTATTTTGGCTACGACCTGGAATTCGACTGGTTTCTGTCGTGGACAAGATGCGCGCGGCGGTACGACGTGTAGTAGGATGACTGCCTCGCGCGTGCGGCTGCTCAATGACGTCGATGTGCAAGGCGTATAACGTTGACTGCGAAGCTTCGAAGTTGCGAAGTTCAAAGGCACATCGACCCTGCACTCGGCTGATGCGGTCTTCGGGGTCCCCACCAAACAGAGCGTCAGGATCGCGCGACTTTGGCGCCGCCGTCTCTGGCGTTCTCGTCGACCACGAGCTCGACGTGCTGAACGGCCGCAAACCCTCCTCCAACCGATGCCGCCATCCGGCAGGCATGCGGTCCTTCTCTTTCTGGCTGTGGGCGTAGGCCTACCTGCGCTCAAGCGCGTGTTGTCGTCTCCGGTCACCCTTGCCCTGCTATTGCCTCTGCTTGTCCTCCTCCTGGTACTCGGTTTCTTCGTTGTCAATGTCGCATTTGGTTATTTTCTGGACTCTATACGACCTGCTCCCCGTAACTCCCTGGCATCTGCTGCACGCCCCTTGGCGTTCTCTACCCCCGCAGCCTGGCAAGCGGTGCTAACACGGTCGCAATGGTCGCATAAAGCACCACAGGCCTTGCCCCCCCTCCGCGCCGAGGTTCCTGTAGTGTCCGCTGCAATAAATGACATCCTGATTCTCATCGTACGCGACTTCGTGTTAGTATGGTACAAGGAAATCTCGACTTCGCCGTCTTTTCCTACCGCAGTGTCTTCCACCCTCCATAGTTCCATGGACCGCCTCCTCGAGAAGGCATCGACCCTTGACCTATCCGCTCTCGTCGTCAAACGCATCCTTCCGAAGGTCACCGCCCATATTGAGCAATTCCGTCAGTCCGAGGTTGCGCTCCGTGGCGCTGGCCTAGAACGGAAGCTCACCCAATCTGAGGAATTGGATCTCTTGCTTGCCAGCCGGTATGCTGCCAGAGGTGGCGGGAAACTCCACCCCGCTGTCGAAAATCTGTCATCTACGTTCACCAAGCAGTCAGAGGAGAGCCATCTTCGGGAGTTGGTAGACAAGGCCCTTCCGCACATCTTGCCGGAGAAGGAGGCTCGCAGTCGCACGGTCAAGATAGTCGTCAGAGAAATAGTGGCATGTTCTGTCCTGTATCCTATCATGGAAATGCTAGCAGACCCCGACTTTTGGAATCGCACTATTGATCAAGTCGTAAGTAGTGGCGGCCTCTCGTTCTGTCCCTGCTGACCTTGTTCAGGCAGGGGCCGCTATACGTCAACAGTGCGTCTATGTGGCTTGTTAGCGAAGACTCTAGTGCCGTGACTAACCATACGTCTTGTATAGACGTTTGATATCCAAGGTGCGGAACGTCCTTGAGGCGCAGCTCCCGCGCTCGCATCCCCAGCTGGAGGGCGCGCACACCACCGCAACAGAGACGATCACAATGCGTACCGACACGAAGCAATTCGAGTCCTTTCTCCGCAGCATTAGTCGGTGTTCTTCCCTGCTAGATGCCAGAAGGCTGAGGAACGACATCATGGGGGAGATCAGGCGAACACGGGCATTACTTGGTGAGTATGTCGAAGGCTCGGACAGTTGATCATTGGAAGGTCATCTTACATTCAACCTAGCCAACAATGCTAACTCTGATTGGATAAACGGCGAGAAGACGGAGGACGTCGTTGCCTTCCTTGACCGTCTATACACAGCGAAGCGGAAAGTCGAGAAGCGCATCGTGGTTCTGGGTGGCGAGGCTGATTCGGTACGTATATACAGACATCCTTTCTCTCAGGATTCTAACATGGTGTACAGAGGCAGACTATCTTCCAAGATGCTCCGACTACCGCCCCATTGACTCTCCGGGATGTACTCGTCAACCCTAGCTCGCTCTCGTACTTCATGGAGTTCATGGACCGCCGGCAACGCTCCCTCCTAGTCCAGTTCTGGCTGACGGTTGAAAGCTTCAAGAACCCGCTCGAATCGGTCGATTCAGGTAGTTCCGATGAAGACGATGAACCTCTGCTAGATTCTGTTCAGTCTACAACGCTGAAAGAAGACATTTCACTCATTAACGAGTTGTACTTCTCCAGCCCAGTCCCAGACCCCGTCCTCAGCGCGGTATCCCAGAAGCATGTCACCACCATTCGCTCCTTCGGGCAGAGCGCAGAGACATCTACCCCAGCGTCAGAGAGGCATGTTCGGCGGAGCGTCATGCTCGCCCAGAGACAGATCGAACGAGAAATGGAACAAGACTTCGAAGATTTCCAGCGATCGGAACTATGGTTCCGCGCGATCGCTGACATCCAGGTCAACGGTGGGAGAACTGTGGAAGAAGGAGCAGGGAACCGTTCACCGACCTCTACTCGGCAATCTTCAGAGGCTGTCTATCTCAGCAGGCCTTCACGAGGTGGCAGCCATCCACTGCTGACCACTACGAGACCGGTAGCACCCCGGTCAGAATCTTCTCCTGCCATAAGCGGACCTTCCTCTCGCGAGTCTCCGTCACCCGCAGGGGGAGCTGCACACCGCCCTGCCGTCTCAAATTTACAAGTATTGATGTCCCCAGTCCACGACAGCCCCTCCGCTGCGGCAAGCCGCGCGCCTCTGTTCGACGATCCTGAGGACGCCGAGCAACAGGAACAGTCCCAAAGGATGGAGGCGATTCAGGCCGCGCTGACCGATATCATCGCTCTCGATAAACAGCATGAGGAGCCTCTGCGCGCTGGTAGCTCTTCCGACAGTATTAGTGTGCAGGACTCTGTTATCCTTCCAACAAGCACATGGTCGCCTCACGAGGGCAAACGGCGTATGGTTTTCGATGACGACGTGGAGGAGGAAGGACACAGGCTCCTCGAGGAAGAAGATGCCGAGAA